GATTAGTACGGAGAGATTGAGACAGAAGGAGGTACTGGATAGAGAGACCGGGATGGTTTTTAATGTGAAGACAACAACAACAACAACAACAACAGGTTGAGAAAGATCCCCACCCCCTTGCAAAAAGGAAAGAGCTCGAGTCCTCTGTAGGAAACTGTGACGATGCCGACAATGGCGGGGACGAAACCTTCACTTCAAGAAGCTTCCTGAAAGGAATCAATCAATGGTGACATCTTTCGTTGTGGAGTATTCGGGCTCTGAGCATTGATGATGCAGGGGGTGTGCTATCTTACGTCATGTCACCTACGAGTACGTGCTGCGACGCGTTGAATGACCAACATATGTGTGCTGCTACGATTCCCCGAGCAGGCAGTAGATACAGCGATAACTCCCCTGTGGGGAACAGGTTGAGCAAATATCATCTGTGTGCATCTGACTACTTATGTGTTTTGCTGGGTGAAAGGGAAGCTGGTGGAAGTTGTTGGTACATATGTAGTCTACAGGTTTGTCCGAATGTTGCCTGCTGTGACACGATATTGGCCTGCTGTGAAGCTCTCTATCCTGTACCCCTCGTTGTGCGCATCCTCCGAGGTAGATAGACCCGAGAACAGCGCAGTCCACATCACTCTCCAAGATGTGGAAGGACATGAGACGAAACTAGACCATGGTGCGACAACGGGCCACGGGAGTCCCAACCCTTGTATGGTAGGTAGGAGCAGCAAATAGACCAAAAGCAAGAATCCGAAAAAAACGTAAGGTTATCTTCTGTGTTGCCATTCCTTGCTTCTCGTAGCATAAAGCAGCTCACAAATGCTCACCTCTTCGTGTGACCTGGTGTGGATAGAGTCCTGCAACGGGTGTGTCCTGTACTTGGCCGTGTCGAGCCAGAGTGAAGGGGAGGGGGGGAAGCGTGCGCTTGCGTGTTGTGCGTTTGGGGTAAGCGTGCGTGTTGTGTGCTCTAGGTAATCTATTCGTGGACGATTGCTTGCTGCTGCTGTAGCGCGATTAGACATTTTTTTTTTGTTAATGTCACACAACAAATCCATCTCTATCTATGGAAATAAGTCTAAGATAGATTAGCAAAGAATCCAAAGCGTGAGCGAAGGCTACCTGTATAGTCTACTGTTTCCCAGACAGCATACGACGATATCTCCCCTGTGGGTAACAGGCTGGATCTATCTGTATGTTATGTTGGGAAGTTGTAGACGGAAGATTTTGGGGAAACGGTTTGTCGGCTGTTCTATGGCACCCTTTTGTGGTTGCGGAGCAAGCGCGTCTCGGGGTGTGTATATTTTCGTCATCAACATATTTTTTGTGTGTGATGTATCGGAGCATGTGCGGCGCGGGAGAACATATGTATGTTTGCCTCTGTAAGATCGCCTTCTATCAACCAGCGTGTGTCGTGTGTCTTGTGCCTGTACATGAGTGCATCATAAACAGCCGTTCGCATGGCGCAGTCATGCAGGCTTCGCCGCCCCCGGCAATATCCCCGACGCTACGGGTTGATAATACCAATAGCGGTGGGTGCCCACCCGCGTCAAGCAAAAAGGTAAAATAACTGCCTGGTAGACTCTTGTCACTGTCTTTGATGGCTTCGGTCCGAAAAAAATCCAACGATTTCAGGATCTTCTGGTTTGAAATGTCCCGGTTGTACGGAGGGACTTTTCGATACTCCCGTTGGTCGTCATCCTGGTCTTCATCGGGACTCTCTCGTCTCTGTGTGTGTTCTGTGTGCGGTGTGTGTGCTGTGCTGTGTTCACGTGAACCACACACCTCGTATACCTGTGTGAAATATGCGTTGTGCTTACATTAACAGCACACCTCCTGCCGCGGTGCGTGTGTCTGGAGTCTTTGTAGGACCAGATCCAGGGAGGGGGAGACAACGGACAGGTTATTTACCCCGACCAATAGCCTTGGTCGCAATACACTGCTGTGAAGCCTGGCCTGTCTGCAAGACGACAGATAGGCTAGGCTCTTCCCCCGTGGGCGATTGCCTCGTATGTTTGTGGTCGAGTTTGGCTATTATACTGAAAATAGAGTGCAACAAAAGTTAGTGTATCTAGTCTAAATCGCGAAGAAAATCGCCCACGGGGGAAAAGAGGGAGCAGCCGAAACTAAAACGGCCGATGGAGAACAGGCCTAGGAGCAGCGTTCGGTTTCCGAGCGGCGGGATTCGTGACTGGTCCCTGTTCCCCCACAGCTGCAGTCCGTTCCGGCTTGCTGGGGTTGCATGTATGTGCATAATCTCAGCCCACAACAACAGACTCCTCCTGGCGTTTGGGCGGAGTCTTGTGAGACGAGATCCAGGTGGTGGGGTAAGGAAGGTTACCCACGGACCACACTACCAGTAGCTTGTTGATGGGCCCCAAGTTGCCCCTAAACTCTGTCGTGTACCGTTTCGCCTTCACAATGCGTCCCGAGATAGCCCGATGGTAACGTAGAAACACACTTAATTCATGTCCCTTGTTGATTGGAGGCTTGCAGGGCGAGATACAGCTCGTTGGAGAAAGAGCATGAGGAGTATAAGGCGTATTATCTACCCCACCCACCGGTGGGGTAGATCAGAATTAAAACGGCTGATTCACGAAACGATCACGGGTGGCCAACAGACCGGGTTGTAGAGGCACTTTTTCCTACCTGAATCGAAATTTTTTGCACGAGTTGCGACCTCCCCACCTTGGGTAATCATCACAATGCAACGATGGCCAGGTTGTGCAAGGTATACATTTCTTGGAGGTTGCGCGTTGTTTACAAGTCGGACAGGGGGCAGGTTGCCGATGGTAGTGCAAGGTGTACCCTTCCTTGGTGGTTGTGCACTGCTAACAAGCTGGACAGGGGGCGGACTGCCGATGGCGGCGCAAGGTATACCCTTTCTTGGTTGGTGCGCTGCTAACAAGCCGGATAGGGGTCAAGCTGTCGATGGCGGTGCAAGGTGTACCATTTCTTGTGATTGGTGCACTGTTTACAAGCTGGACAGCGGGTAGGCTGCCGATGTCAGCGCAAGGTGTACCCTTTCTTGGAGGTTGGCGCGCCATGCACAAGTCGGTTAGGGGGGAGGTTGCCTATGGTATGACAAGGTGTACCCTTTACTGCAGGTTGGCGCGCTTCGCACAAGCCGGTTGGGGGGCAGGTTGCCCGTAACAGTGCAAGGTGTACCCTTTCTTGCAGGTTGACGCGTTGCGCACAAGCCGATGAGGGGGCAGGTTGCCGATGGTATTGCAATGCGTACCGTCTCCTATAGACTGCGCACGATGCGGCCGGTCTACAACAAACTGCGGTCCTCAACACTGTAAGTGGCGGGTTCAATTCCCCTGCACCACGTTATTTTTTTGTTCATGTTTCATTTGTTTTTTCGCCCATGTATTCGAATCACTGCAATTTTACCATCCGTACATTCCCGAGCAAATCTCTGAAACAACGACATCCCGTGCCCATGCATCGTACACATTGCCAGTAGCTCTAGCTTAAACCCATCTCCGCTCGCGGCTTATTATCTTTACCCACAGGGTCGTCAACATCCCAAGTTACACGATTACATGTAAGCGAGAACCATAAAAGGTACTCAAAATTGAAACAATACATACATACCCTTCCGAACGTCGTTCTGAATATTGAATGTCCCCCCACATCAGCATGCCCTCGCGCATGACCGTCAGCGACGTCGATCATGGAGACGACCCACAACCCCCGCAACAAACTACCTTTGTTGTGAGGAAACACCGCTCAGCCGGAGACAACAGCTACACGTAGCGGCAGCAGTGTTGTCCAAACGCACAGGTAGAAACGACCGTCTCTCCCGACACGATACACAGAACCCCCCCCACGCCCCGGCCGTCCCAAATTCTACAACTAACTCTAGTCAAGGAAAAACCTCACTGCCTGAGACGGAGCCAGCTGCGACAGCGGTGTCCTCCAAAAACAATGCAGAGACTGCAGAAATAGACCTCGTTACGTTCCCAACACCATCGAAACAAGTCCCCCCTCCCCTCCCCCACAAGCCACAATTCGCACGGAAAACAAACGGCGCGGACGAGGCCAAGAGGCAGCAGCTACAGATTCCAAACGCCTTGACACACACAGCACAGTAAGAAAACACCTAGCTCTCATCCCGCGCCAGGCGCCCTCATGCACCAGTAACACCCGCAGCCAATCGGCTACCCTGCAGGGATCTGGGGGAGAACCTCATACAGGGTACCAGATTTTGCACCCATTCAGGGTGCCATATGGCAAGGTGTCCTCAAGGTTACGACCTTGACAAGGTGTCGCTTAGGTTATCACCTTGACAGGGTCGGGATGTCCTGGTACCTTGTCAGGGCAAGGCCTACCAACCATGGCAGGGTGAGGCCGGCTGCGTACCTTGTGGGGGATGGTTTTTCGAAACGGTTTCATTTTCTCTGTTTCCTACGGTTACAGTGACTCCCGCAGCACCGGCTACATGCTTGATACGCAAACAGGAAACACGAAGGATGACAAGTACACGCCAGAGTATAGACCGACAGGAACAGCCGGCGCTAGTATCAAATCCATGACACACCGATCCATCTGTCCGAAGATTCTCCCTCATTCAACGCATCTCGACCCTCCGTACACAAAACAGCGACGAGTACCTAGTTATACAATGCCCTCTCCGCTTCGTTTATGTATGACGCGCACAACACTACTCTATTCGAGCGCTACGCGACACATGCATCAAAGGTATACAGGAAAAGCAGAAAGCATAATCCAACACTCACTCCGGGACGTGACGCCATATGAAAACGACGTGGACTGTGGACGCATTCAACGACTTTCATTGGAGAGAAGCAAAAACATAGAAGACAAAGACCGCAAACGCTGTGTGTGGAATGCGCCAAGCGCCACCCCAACAGCATATTTTACTCGACCAAAGGTATCATCACATCATCATGATCACCAAGGTAAAAACTGACGTCATCTAACAAGACTACTGCAGACATGTACCCGCCCCAGAGATTCACTTAGGTATCAAGAACAAGCCCCCCCCCCAAAGCCGGCGAAGGCTCCCGCCGACGGTCACCGACAGACGCGAATAAAGACCCCGCCACCAACCGCTTACTTTACGAAAATGCAGAAGTAGATCACACAGAAAAAAAAAAAGCAACAAACAAACGCTGCCGTGTTGACCAACCAGGCGACAGCGCAACAGTCTACATCCTGAGCAACATGCATCATTCACCATCACCACGAACGTCACGCAGGTCTCCATTGCGCGGCGTGATACGCCGCCGGTGAATAAAAGAAATGGAGCTCCGATGCATCCAACATAATCATGCAAAAAGAGCGCAGAGGAGAGGTCGGGTGTCCAGGATGATGCCATCCCGCGCGACAGGGCGTGGATATCTTAACTGCGTCAACCCCCTGGGGGACATGAGACAACCCAGCAGTGAAGCTTTGTGAGAGCCAACACATTAACTCCGCGCAAAGCAATACCAGCAGCAACATCGAGGTTAAAGTCTCCCCCCTTCGAAACCCACCCCAAAACTTGTCAGGCATACTTCNCGGGTGTCCAGGATGATGCCATCCCGCGCGACAGGGCGTGGATATCTTAACTGCGTCAACCCCCTGGGGGACATGAGACAACCCAGCAGTGAAGCTTTGTGAGAGCCAACACATTAACTCCGCGCAAAGCAATACCAGCAGCAACATCGAGGTTAAAGTCTCCCCCCTTCGAAACCCACTCCAAAACTTGTCAGGCATACTTCTGTGGAGACAAAAGCTGCCGGCGCCCTTCGACCGCCCCGACGATGTTATCGTCGAGGCGAGCGACCTCGAGGAATACCTCAACATGTCACCCCGAACTTCGGCGGCGCTTAATCCGTACCTCAACAACATGTCGCCCTGAACTTAGGGCGACATGTTGTTGAGGTATTCCTCGAGGCCGCTCGCCTCGACGATAACATCGTCGGGGCGGTCGAAGGGCGTCTCGCGAACACGTATCTCCTCGTCGCCCTCGTTCGAGACCTCGGGGTCAGAGAGGTCGGTCTTGCCGCCTGCGTTCGTTTGTCGAACGGAAAAGACAAGCGAACGCGATAACGTCATGATCAGAAGACGTCAAGATGAATGCGAGGATGACGGTCTCTTTGAGGACAGGGCTTTGAATTTGACGGATCGGGGGGGTCCCTACCCTACATTTTGTATCGATCTAGTCTGAACGCCGAATGAGCTGTATTGAGAATATGACAAACAAAATACGGCCGGGTGGGAAAAGCTTGCCTGCGAACGGCGCGATGTACGCGATGATGCGTTTGTTGGTGAACTCCTCGTTGCGCACGTTGAGAATGGGTTCCGCGAAGCGCAACGTTCCGGTGGCGAAGGGAGAAAGCCTGTACCACAGGCTATGCGACGGACAGCAAGAATACCAAACGAAAGTTGTGACAAAACTCATTCGCAGAGTGTCATAGCGTGGTGGTTTGACGAAGAAGATTTCGCAAATTTATTGCGGTGTACTGACGCGCACGCAACACAGTACAAAAAACGTGGTAGCAATGACACTAATGATCTGTGTGCCTTTTCAGTATGCGCCCACCAGAATTCACGTGAAATAAGGCACCCCACCGGCACTCTACGAGCCTGCAGGCGCAAGATACGGTGTGTAACAGTATCTGACTGCCCTAACGTCGTGGGAACGACGCAACGTTCCAAAAGGCAGACCCGTCTCTGTTCGTTGACTCGCGAAAATCATTACCGATCAACACTCACGAGTTCTGAAACTCCCGCGCCTTCTTCGTCTTGAAACCGCCAGTCTGGCGGTGAGAGAACGCCTGCACCTGGCGCTCGGCGTAACACTGCCGGGACTCAAGGTCCCCGGCCTCCTTAAGCTGAGTGTGCTCCGCGTCGCAGAGCATCATCAGCGGCAGGGGCAGGGTCACCTGTTCACGCTCGAGGGGGCCGAAGGGGTGGAAGCATGCAGATGATGTACTTTTGGTCAGAGGTTGCTCAAAGGATGATCGTTGGCAGTCGACATACGGGTGTTCTTCTACTATTTCTCGCTGGTTCTACCAACACCGCAGTTGGTTTTCTGTTCTCGTCACGGTCCCAGGTCACACAGTAGCTGCATCACTAGCCTTAACTTTCGACGCAATTGTCAATCGGGATAAGCACCCCCTTCCCCATGCAAGTACACAAGTGCGTCTTGTACTGAAGCGTTGCGGGAAAAGCCATGGGTCGGACTTCGGGAGAAAATAAATGCAGCGAGATTATTCCTGGCCTATGTAGACGTGGGAATAAATCAAAGTTGTCCATGGCACCTTCTAGGCCTCGGTTGGTAGTGTTGAGAGGCTGAAATGCAGTACAACGTGCAAACACCCATTCTGTCACCTGCGCGAGGAAGCACTCGTGAAGCAGGTCCTGCCCCAAAAGGTGCCCCTTCGACAGCAGTAGGTACTCGTCGAAGCCTTTGGTGAATCGCCACATCATATCCCTAGGGTGCTAGAATTAGAATCAAGCAACACAGGGCGCGCCTTCGAACGAGAACAATAGCACCGTGCGGCTGTGTAAGCCGCACCTGCACTCGCTACCAAGGACACAATTACCTCATTACCCAAACGATCCATGTCACAAACACACAATTGAACAGACTCCCAACAGGCTAATTCCTTCCATCCAACTGCACAAGGCAACAGCGAGTGCTGCAGTAGCAACGATCTATGCACCCGTTGCTCACATGTCCTTCAAGACGGTCTGGATGCCGGTGTACATTCTCGCGCCATTCTCCTCAAAAATCTTCCTTATCAATGGTCGCCCACTTGCGACTCGCCAGCTTAGGAAGCAGCTCGACCTCAATGGTGTGGATCACTGCCATGAGACGCGGCCACCACATCAACAGGGGGGAAAAAGGGGCGCTCTGCGTGGGGTCTTCGCACACCGAACACAACAAGCAACACGAACAAGAAACACGGGCAATGTACCTCAACGACGATCAACCATGGGAGGCATGGAAAGGGCTGAAAAAAACTTGGGAGGGTTGTGATAGTGTCCACCAATCAACCGTGGGCAGCCCGCGTTGAATCAAAGGATGCTGACTTGCTACTTTGCTCAACAGCCGGTTGGCCGTGGATCGAGAACAATGTGTAATGATCGCGGGTTTCCAAGAAACGAAGCACGGGTGGTAATTCCAAAAGAGAATGAAATATATGCACCGCAGCAGAGAGGCGGAGGAGCTTGTGGGAAAATTTTATTCAGCTTGGGGCAGTACCACCGACGTTCTTTGAGTCACACAGCATCAGCCCGTTGGGCGTGGGACACTTGAGAGGCCCCATCTACAATCGTTCAAATCAAATCCCAGTCTTTCATTTGCGTTTTGCTCTCTTTTTTAATCCATGATTTGCGCGGAAATCACGCAAGTCTTTAGTACACTCAATGCAACGGGTGCGAGTTACAGCAGCCACAGCTTGAAGACCATACATCTGTGTAGTCAAATTACCCATTGCATGCATAAATGTATGCATGTGACAGCAAGTGTTTAGATTCCTACCCTGCGTGGCGTAAGATACCACACCCCCTGGACCAATAATCAACGCTCGACTACAGCAGTCTGCACCACAATAAGGGACGGGGCCGAAAATGGCGGGGTTGGAACCGTCTTCTCGAGAGCTTCCCGAAAACGGACCGTTTGGTTCGGCACCCTCTTGTTGGGGAGTACGTACGGGCGTGGGGTGCAGCAGTCGAGCTTTCGATCCGGGGTGTGTGCACACGGTACGATGAGCACTGTACTAAAGGATTTCTCAAGGAAACATTTGCCAGCAAGGTGATTCTTGAGGCGGGCGTGTGCGCAAGCGTGCGAGCATGCGAGCGCGGCGCACGCGGCACGCACCAAACAGGCTACCGTATATGACACAAGTTAACACACACCCTTGACCAATTTTCGAAGCTCGATTTCTCAACTGCAGGAACAGTCACAGCACCGAAAACGGCGGCGTTGAAACCGTCTCGTCAAGAGCTTGTCGAAAATGTATCCTTTCGTTTATGCATCCTCTTCGTCGTGGAGTAATCGAGCTTTGAAAATCGGTCCAGGGGGTGTGCTATCTTGTGTCACATACGGTATGAAGCTACTTCGTAGTTTTTTTTGAGACCGCCGTTGGACAATAAAAAGTGGCTTGCGGCCCGAGATGAAAAAGTGTGTGAGTGAACGTGAATGTCCATCCGTAGGAGGCAGTCTTCACCTGAGATTGAGATGCCGCGGGAATGCTGTGCCCAACGTCTCCCGATTGTGTGCTTTGGCCTGCTGTTCTTGTTGAGGCGACCACTGGATCATCAGGCGGCCGGCTCGTTCACTGCAATTTGGACCTCGACAGCAGTACAGTACTTCTGCTGTAGACATGCTTTCCCGCCAACAACGCCGGACTGCACGATGTTGCCAACTCCCGTCGGCGTAGCAGGAAGACGAGTTGGCATCCAGTGTTATGTGTGGATCAAACACGGCACTTGCGGTGCGTGCTGTGTGCTGCGCTGTCGCGTCCGCCAAGCACGGACCAGTACTGCACGCGTGACCAAAAAAAAAAAAAGCGGCTCAACACAATAAATGGCAGTTGGCTAGCCCACCGGCGATCAGACGTCCGCACTGCCATCTTTGTTGGCGTACAGCATAAAATAGACCAGTAGCCATTAAGGAAAGCTGGTTTCACGGAATTTCGTTGACTATAGCGCGAGAACTGCTCGGCGCAGGCTCCGAGACTCTGCCGACAAAATAAGGCTTTTCCCCCGTAGGCGATGTTTTTTTTTTGTTTCGGCGTTTCACGGATATTTTCGGCGATTTTTTTTTAGTGCCAAAAACGACTTTTTCGGCGACTTTCGGCGACTTCCACATGTTTTCGGCGAGTCATAGTTCAGTTTCGGCGATTGTTGACGATTAACGGCGACGTACTAGCATGTACTTCCAGTAACACAAACGAGCGGGTCGCGACGCGGTTGGACTGCTGCGGAGGCCACCTGTCACCTGTCCGCGAAAAGCGAAATGATGTGTCCTTCGTCCTTCTCTTATTTTTCTACAAACTACATCTTGCATGTTACGCTGGTGTGTACATGCAATATTCCGAGCCCTCACTTATCAAACAAATCAACAACGAAATGGAATACTATGATGCTTCGATACTTCGACGTTACGCATGGCATGTACGCTCACGTCCGGGCAAAAACAAACAAATCTGGACAGGTACTGACCCACCAACTACGAACAAGTAAGGCATCTACACGAAAGTGAAACACAGGCCATCAGTCGCTTTCTTCATCGCTGCCATCACCCTGGTCGCTACCGCCGCCGCTGTTGGCATCTTCGGCGCTACCCGTCTTCTCTGCTGAGCTGCTATTCTGGGCCCGGCCCCTGTTGTACTTGAGCAGTGCGGAAGCGCAAATACGGTCGCTGTACACGTGCTCCTGCCGTTCATTAAAGCAACACGGCAGGATGGAAAACACTCGTTCCATGAATGCAGAGGATGGTTGCAAAAGAGCAACATCCAACACCAAGGCGTGCCACGTAGGCAGCCTTTTCTCGTTGTCCTTCCAGAACGCCATGTGGCCGTACTCGATATCTGTGTCACTGGCCGCCATGTAGTAGTCTTCCTTCTCCTTCAAAAGCCCCTTGACCATCTTGCTCTTGACGAACGGGAGCACCTTGAGGCTGCGAATGGTGTCATCGGAGTACTTCTTGCTTTTCATGAACACGAAGTCCGTCAGCTTCGCGGCCTTGAACATCTCCAAGATCTTGGCCTCCCTCGCTTGGGAGTGGCGTCCGACCCTGTCGTGTACGTACTGGCGAAGGGTGTCCAAGTCGTCCTGCATTTCGCTCGCGAGCAAGTCGGAAGATGCCCCCTTCACAAGCAACACGCAACGCAAATTAACGGACGACAACCAAGGAGCAATAGGAGAGAAAGGATGAAGGTGGGCCAAGGTTTAATTTCGTTGAAAACACGCGCGGAACGACTAACGGCATCTTCTCACACAAGTAACACACGATGTGTTGCCCTCTTCAATTTACACAATCTAGCGTGAAGATAATAAACTATATAGACTATAGAATCTCGCAGCCCGCGGCCCGTAGTTGAGCTCACCAGGTCGTCTCCTTGACCGACTACTTGGTCGAGAAGAGCAGCGACGGTGGGCAAGGAGACATCCTCTGAGAAAACACCGTCTTCAGCTAGCTCAAACTTGCTGCGGAACCGCTCCACGACGTTGTACGTCTTGTGCGCCTGCCATCGTGAGAAAGCGGCACCGAGAGCGGCGAAGTGGAAAACGAGGCTAAATGTTGATACAAAAAAAATAGATGAAGCAGCGAAAGAAACCACCACCGCAAGAAAAAAGACGCGCGAGATGTCTGCTTTCTGCTTTCCACAAAAAATGGACGAGCCCTATTTATGTACGTACCAATGGCTCGTCGCCCTCCAGGACGATAGTTGCTGAAGTCACGGAACGACCGACGTCCACTGTTGAGTAGCTTGGTGCGCCCGGCGCAGTTGTAGACGGCAAAAATAAAAGAACCGCGCGGCGAGTTTGCCGGCAACGATAAAATACAGTAAACTGCCCGCGGATGTGGTAACCCGCCGCATCTGTGATGTTCCGGAGCGTGATGGCTTTGATGTGTTGAAGCTGGTGCTGTGATAGCTGTTGTGATGGCGTGATAGCCTAGAGGCGTGACAGCCTGGCAGCGTGATAGCCGGTGGATATGTGTGGACACGGGCGTGATAGCCCAGAGCGTGATAGCCGGGAAAAGGGAGACGAAAATTTATCCAAGCGCACGTGGTCAACACCGTTGCAGACACGTATACACAGGAAACAACAACACGTGGCAAATATGGTACCACCATTCCCCCAATATACCACAACTGCGGAACCCCAAAAGTTCCCCGCTCCATCTTCTCGGAACGTTCCTCGGTTGCAATAATCTGTCAATGCTGTGAGTACATCCAACAGCCCCCCTGCTCGCTGCATTGACAAGATTATTCCCGGACTTGCGTATCACACAAAACCCATCCCAAAAGCTCCAGAAATCAATGTCAATGNCAAAAATAAACCATTAAACCAGAAACGTAGTAGTTCCTACCAGAATTTCCATCGGTCTCCATTGTGTCCAGAATCTCCAAGGATCAAAACATTCATTACAACCATTAAATAAATCAGAAACACTGATTAGAATTCCCATCGGTTGAAAACCATTAAACCAGGAACACCACCAAGAATTTCCATCGGTCGCTGGTGGATTTTCCAAATTCCCAATATCAAATCATCCAAATCTCAAATCATCGAAACAACCGCAATGGGTCACATCAGAAAAAAATGAAAACAAACACATTCGCATACACATACAACACCGTCCGGNCCTGTCTCTTATACACATCTAGATGTGTATAAGAGACAGCATACAACACCGTCCGGGACGAATCACTTTCTGAGGATACCTCACATCCACAAGTAGCTGAAAAACAAGAATCAATCATGAATGCACAAAAATGCTCGACTCCATACCCCATCCTTATAACATGAAGACCATTGATGCAAAAAACCTTCAGAGCATTTTCCATCGGCCAATCTTGAGTTCAACGTCCAACACGATGAAAACACAAACCAGAAGACCTCGGCAACACAGTACACCATATCTACCTCAGAA